ATATATCGTACGAACATACGAATGGTAATTACCATTGTTATTTGACAATACGTCGTTGATACATGTACATGTATATTTAAATGTCGAGTTGAAGGCCATAGCAAGTGCTTTCTTCCTTTCGCATAAGATTTTGAACAAAAGCATCCCCGGCTATTCGGATGAATGAGCGTGTGTACAAAGAAAGAAAAATAAATGATAAAGACGCGAATGGTTTGAAACAATTTGAAAACAATTAAAAAGAACACATTTTCTTTTAAAATTATAAATATAGCTTAATTTATATACCAAAATTAAATATAAAAATCAGTTTGGAATTTAAAAAATTAAAAAAAAAAAAAAAAAAAAATCCTTCAAACACCATCTGAAAAGAAAATTATGTTGGATGTTAGAATTTATTTGGTTCTGTAAAATAATCAAAATTTTGATAGAGTTTCTCTTCATTTCATATTGCACTACTGCTTAAATCGCTAAGTACCACAAAAAGAATGTATATCTACTGACATACATTTATAAGAAATCAACATACCATGTTAACGACTCCAGCTATAAGAACCACTGCTGCTGGAATCGGACCATCTTCTGTACCATCTCCCAGGGGAGGCAACTGATCCCATGACGTAGGCGGTCAGTATAACCAGAACAAGAAGCAACAAAAACTGAACGAAGTTCAATGTAGTTCTAAATAAACTAGAGAAAACAAAAAAATATTTTAGCTTTGGAGAAAACAGTGAAGAAAATTAAGCTATACAATAGGAAAATATACTTTCAGATAAAAAAATCTTTTTGTTTTATTAATCATTATTCTTAGAGTATACAGTTAGTACAATGAATTTGGATGCCGAATATTTTTTTTATTTGTTATTAATCAATTAATAGACGAATTTCACATTCCTAAGAATTACCTCCAGCTGTCGGCGTAACGCCCATTTTCCCCACTTTTTCCTTTGTAAGTTACCTGTTAATATTTTTAGTCTTCAAATGTCATCGGACAGTTTAATTTCTATCTGTACCTGTATTGCCAGAGTATGTAGCAACATGAAAAACATTATGAACATATATTCATACTGATTTTATTTCTATGATACTGACCCATAAAGTTGTTAAGGTTATAGAAGGAAAACAGGTTGAACCCGGATTGACCCCGCAAAGGGGAATAACGTTTGTAAATGTGAAAGTCGTCTATAATTAGCATTCAATCAAGCTAGTGGGTATCAATTATTTGAATTCATAAAACACAAAAAAATATTTCCTTTGATACAAAAGGAAAGGAGCGTCATTTTTTTACCTTGATGCTACAGAGGAATGAAGTATTGCTTGTATCATGTCTTTTGTCTCTTTATATATAGTCGATCCATTTTCCTTATATCATTGGAATGTTAATAAATGTTAAAATGTGCTTATTATTACTGCAGGTTCAAGGCAATTCTTGTCAAGGCTAAATGTTTATGATATTGAATGTGCCCATGCACTTGTACCAAGGTGTGAAAATTTCAGTGATAATAAAACCCAATGAAAGACTGTTTTTTTCAAACAAGGTCATTAAAAAGACCATATAATTTGCGATTTGTTGATAAGAAACAAGGTACATGTAGTTGAAATCCTGTATGTCCCTATATACATATAAATCAAAGTACTGAAAGTACTGAAAAGCGGTTAGCATGCTTTCATGGAATTTGACTGTACAATGTAGAATAACAAAAAAATGCATTCAGTGATGATATTAAAGTAAGCATGCATATCTTTGTCCAATGTCATCAGCGAAGAAGCAGACACACTGACTTTTGTAGTACTTAACTAAATGGAAAAACCAATAACATCCCAGACTGATGTCACAAATGTATGTTTCAAAATATCAACCTGAGATTTTCAGTTTGAAAGACAGGAAGTTCAATTTAAAAAAATTCTTCTTAATTGTCTCCATTGGTGGCGTCCAAATGTGCTCAGAACGAAAAAAAAATGTTGATGTTGCAAATTTAATTGTCTTTCATGCTCTATTGACTCTGAAATTAGGTAACTGTAAAGCCTACTCAAAAAGAAAATAAAACAAGTAGAGCTTTTCAAAAAAGCTTACCGTCTTTAGCAACAATTTTAAATAAACAGATCTATACTTCTTTTGAATTTCTTGATTTTGTATTTCTAAATAAGCTTTTTACGGGCATTAGCCCTACCACGGTTGTCGCTCGGTCATCTCCGTAAACGTTGACTGTCCGAGAGCTTTCGGCAAACCTCGGCTGATTCCCATTCACTCTTCAAACAAGAAAGAATAATAACAAATTGTAAAGCCTGCAAGCAATAACTATCAACTTTTATTTATAATGAAATTTAAGAGTCCTTTTTATTTATCGCTATAAAACACTTTTATCACTATAAAACAGTAAAAACGCTATGTTATTAAGAATTAATTACTGCTGATTTTGTTGACAAGTTCGTTTTGTCATTTTTTAAGATTGGAATTGTACGAAAAATATATCATCAGAAAGTTATCTCCCTTGCCTTGAACAGCGTTTCAACCAATGAAATAATTGAAAATTTTCTCATCATGCAATTTCTACCAATCACAAAAGAGAGGAAGTGCATAGTCCGACGACTGTAAAAAAAACTTCAACTATACAATACCGTCCTCCAAGGAAGACGGTTATGATAATTCAAATTCTTAAGATTAATTCATTTGGAGTTCTGTACATAGATCTTTAGCTGGCTAGTCTGAGAAAAACGGATGGACGAGCAGAGAATTTGTAAATTAATTTAATTTCAGAGGGCTTCAATTTCGTAGTCTCACTGCGGGTCAGCAGGTGTGACCTGTTATTGGGGATGCTTACTTCTCCTAGGCACTGGAACTTTCAAGGATCCGTTTTTCATTTGAGACCGATCACTATTCATTCTGTATTTTGATACAGATACTGAGTACATCTGTTTATTAATATTATGAACTATTTCTCTCACAGGAAGAAAGACAAGTAAACAAGATAATAAAGTTTTAAGAAATGTACACTATTGACTTTAAATACAATAAATGTTCGAATTAGTAAATGGTACATGACAATAATTCAAAAAAGAGTCTTGTAAGCACGATATATATAAACGAACATATACTGAGTATTTGGGAAATATTTAAATAATGTGACGTTTATAATCGTTTGTAATGATTAGACTGAGTACAGAATTTATCCCTGGAAACAAAGCTTTCATCATCTTTTAAATAATTTCAATTGAGAAAAAAGGAGAAGAAAACAAACGTTTCATTATGGAAGTAATCTATAACTGTACAGCTTACAGATGCAGGGTTCTCCATGAGCTGTTTTACTGTGTTGCTCCCGACACAGCAAAATTTTCTACGACACAGTAACGATTAAAATTTTATGCATGCGACACATTTTTAAGGAACTCGTAAGAATATCATCCTTTCCTGAAGTTTCCTTATTTTTTCCTTTGCAATTCGGTAATTTGATAAAAAAAAAAAAATGACAAAAAAGTACAACAAACTTACTTTCAAAAGTGGTAATTAGTTTGATTGTATCGATCAGAATTTCCCCTGCTTTTCATAGCACGTGTTTTTACTTTTATCAATATGTATGACGAAAATATTTGTACATCGAAATAGTGATTTATTTTAAAAAGTGTGCGCATATGTTCCTATATAAGTTTAATGAAAAGCAATTCAGTTGCGAATTTGATCTCGAAAATAGCGCAAAAATTTAGTGCTTCACGTAAACTCTACAACACAGTAAAATTTCAAATGATGGAGAACCCTGCAGATGTATTCAGTTTTTTCATATATAAAGCTTTCTTCATGTACTAGTATTACTTAAGTTAATTAAAGGGATGGCTAAATATTTTGGCAAGGAAAATGAAACTCGATCTCGAGATTCTCCGATGTTTTGCAGTCTGTAATAACCTTCAACCCCTTAAGCCAGTAATTAACACGTCCTTTCTGTGCCAGTAGCATAATTCGATCAAATATTTATTGTTCATGAGGGGTGCCTTATAATTAATCACAGGCACCTGAATTTTTATCAGTAAGTCTCTAAATTAGCCAAATATCGAAACATTCTACCCCTCTATGTACAGTTTAGATACACAAGGTGTGCAACGCCATTTTGACCCCCTGTTCAATTCAGGCTTCAATTTAACACATAAATCGGATATGCCTACTGGTTTTCGTGTAGCATTGGGTTCAAATATGATATTTCTCGCTATATATTTCTTACTTAAGTTTAAATCCAACGCGTTGATAATGTTATCAGCTAAAATTCATGCTGACTTCAAATTTCGTCACAGGGCCCGATCGCCATCAACTGACGTCACGGAAATTTAATCTCGACACCAAATGCTCCTATACATAAAATTTTAAAATACAACAATAAATTTATTTCATTGACAAACAAAATCAGATAAAAATTAAAAACCGAAAGATTATGTTGTTTTGATAGTTTTGATTTTATTTAACATATGTTATATGTGTTAGAAACAAATCATTGGTAGAGGCTTTGTTGAAGTTTCTGTTGTCGATAGGTAGCGCCTTATGGAGGTTTCCGGTTGCCGACACATGCCATATAGCGGCTAGCGAAGCTAACCGCTTAAAAAGATTTTCTAAACCTCTAGTTTCGGTTTATTTTTACTACCGTCATCTACTCAAAAGTGTTAATTTTTTGCTTATCATATTAGAAGATTCAATAATGTAGAATGATCAATTAAATTTGTAAGTAATTATAGTTATTGTAATAAGTAAGCCTACAGACAGAAGTTCCACCGCCTTTTCATATGCTGCTTATCCTTATGTATACCTTAAAAGTCAATAACAATAACAAGGCCAACATTTTGAGGGTCTTGCGCAGTTGGCAATAAAATAGCATTTAGCATCAGCTGAAGTATAGTTTAAATCGAATTAAGGCAATGAATGTGCAGAAACTATGTGCATATGTTAACATTATGAAAAGTTCTATAGTTTAAAAAGTCATTTGTCAGAACATATATAAGTAAATATCTTTCTCATGACAATAACCTGTCTTCGTCCCACAGATATAAGGTATAGGTATACTTTATTTTTCCTTTGATTAACTCTCCATTTCTGTTATTTTGGGTCTAAAACAAGTCACTACAAAATTTTAATCTTTGTTTAAATAATATTAATTGTGAAGCATATAAACTGTATTAAACAAAGAGAATTAACAATATTGTTTTTTTTTATTTTTATGTTTTATTTGTTTGCTTGTCATGATTTCTATTATTTATATTCTTTGGGTCAGAATGTATATTTTTATAAGAGAAAGGTTTTCTTGATTCATATCTGTTTGAACGTTTCAAAATTTTTAATCCAGAAACATGATACTTGCTATTCTGCAAAATTACAATAATACTCTATCATATTAATTTTATTTTTTAATGATATTTAAAAAAATATTATGAAGAAATATTGGTCTATGTTTCTTATTTTATCTTATAATCACGTATTTAAATAATTTTTCAGGTTCAATATCACAAACTACAATGAACTTCGTTCACCTTCTGTTGATTCTTGTTCTGGTGATACTGACCGTCTACGTCATGGGATCAGTTGCCTCCCCTGGGAGATGGTACAGAAGATGGTCCGATTCCAGCAGCAGCAGCAGCAGTGGTTCTTACAGCTGGAGTCGTTAACATGGTATGTTCAAACCAGTTTGATATAATTATAACACATGATGCTTTTAATTAGAGAGCAATATTTGAATTAAGGGATGTCCACACGTAAGTGACGGACTTTTCTCTTCAAGTTATTATTCAATCGTGTTTCCTGGTAAATTATACTTGTGATTAGAGATTTTGGTATATTAGAAATTACATGGGTATACTTACGTTTCTTTGTGAATTCAGTATTATTTTTTCAAGCATTTTAATTATATAACTGATTACTGAGTATTATACAAATCCGAGTATACTAAATGTGCATTTTACAGTAAAATAATTTAACAGAAGTACATAATAACAAATGAAAAGAAAATTTTTGAAACAGGAAAGGTACATCAAAATATATGTAAGCTCTCAAATACTTTTTCCTTTTTTCAGGAGGATTTCTGACGTTATTTTACTTTGAAAGACAGCTGGAAACAACTTTCTCAATTCATACCTTTTTCATATGTTTTTTTTTTCTCAGACCAAACTGAAAAAGACATTATTTAAAATTTCAATTCCATACGTACCCTCACTTTATTTTTATATGTATATATATGTAGAAATTCCTCCATTAAAAGAATACACTAAGTTATCTTGTTTTCATTTTTATTCATGTGGAAGGATAGGTGATGGATTTTTCAAAAGAACATTGGAAAATATTTGAATGGTAATTTAAAGTAGTAACATGTGCCACAAATTGTTAAATAGATTGAATGTTGTTTTACGTCCCATTCGAGTATATTTCACTTATATAAAGACGTCATCATATAAAGGTGAAGGGCTTCAAATGTTGACCTTTACTCGGCTCTCAAGGCCATTGAGCTGTGAGGGATCTTTATCATGCCAACGCCTGACGTGACGCGGGGCCTAGGTTTTTGAAGTCTCATCCGGAGGACCCGCATTTTTCACTTAAAAGTGCATTGCAAAGGAACAGTTACTATCGAATAAAGTCATTCCTGGCCGAGGTTCGAACTTACGACTTTCCGATCACGAAGCTGGCGCTCTTCCGACTTACAAACTGTTTGTTGGAATATATGTAATTAAATGTGTTTAATGGCATAACTTAACGTAAGGAAAATTAACATAGCAACTATCTCCACATATTCTTACTGTGATAGCCTTGTTCAAATCATATTTTTCAAAAAGTATTAATGTAAGGAAAATACCTGGTATTTTATTGTTGCTTTTTGTAGAAAGTATTTTGTAATTCTGATGTGGTGTGTTTTATTTAACTCTAAATAGAAAGAAATGGCCTTTTTGTCCTAATATAATGTTTTGTGAGGAAATCCGGTATCATTTTAACACTTAAATCAGTATGTAATATCGTCAATAAAACGGTCAACTCTCGTTAAACACTACAAGAATCCTGGTAGATTTAATCAAACCCATATTTTCATCCTAGTAAAATTATGAAAATGACACCTTATTACCTCTCTAACGTTACATTTGTGATTATCTGGTAATTTATAACCAAATTTGGCGTATATAGAATAATTTGAATACTGTAAATCACTTTAATATTCACGAGAACATTATTTTCACGTAATTACAATTACACGTGTCGGTCTCCTCGCAAAAATTGTATTCTCCATCGTATATTCAGTATTTTAAAACATAATAAACGATAGAAACCTTAGCTCTTGAAAATTTTGTCTTGCTCCTAAATACCAAATACTTGTTGGGAAAATTAGGTGTTGCGCAAAGAGAGTGATATACTGTTGAAGGGCTTTATTTCTGTTTCATTATCCCATCAAATTTCATCAAGATATTCATACTATATAGTTTATTATCCCAAGCTGTAGGTTATAGTAAAATCCATTCAAAAGAACAACAAATGAAAAGGTACTTGTTTGCTATCAATTCTGGGCTATTATATTTCATCATGGACATTAATTAGAATACCTTATTAGCAGACTTATTTTGTTCACCGAAAAAGCAAGGCATCCGAACCATATAAGGACCTAACTGTCTAACCTTAAATATCAATCGTGTATAAAAAAGACACACTGATAGTAATTAATAGTACCAGGTATTTAAGAGAAAAAAAATTGACCAAGAGAAATTTTCAAAAATGTAATTTTATCCAAGCAATACTAGTAGTTAATCAATGAAGATTAAATTGAAATGTATGGGGCACGCATATTTATAGAATACCAACAAATACCGTGATGGAAAGATGTACTTATTTACAAGGAATAGAAAAATAACTAGTTACGATCTCGTTGTAAGCAACGGTTGGGTCTTCCGTCCGATTTTCGAAAGGATGAGATGATAATTTGACTGAGATTTCAGTTCATATGTTTAAGGAGTATAAAGTTTCTGCCTCAGTAATATATTACTAAGCAGAAATCGTTTAAGCGTTAATGATTAAAGACTTTTGACCCCTCTTAGCCCTTGATGTAAAGAGCCAGTGCCTTTATCTTGATATTACTTTAAAACACTTATAGTTTTAAACCATTTTTGTGCAATAATTATTTTGAGATTCTTTTCCGTTTTTGAGATATTTGCAAAAGCAATGTTTAGTGGTCAGCTCTTCCAATCCTTAATGGGGACATTTAGCAAAAATCAAAAGGTTGCATATTGTTCAGAAACATTCACAGAAACTGACAGAAGTGTTTCATATTATGAATTTCTTTCAAAAAAAAATTCAATCATGCGAATGGTAAGCTGACAACAAAACTTCAAACTAAATGTGATTTTAATGTTAAGTAGCAATATGCCAGTGAAATATATGTCTCTAAGTTGATTTGATACGCAAGAGCAAGCATTAGGCACAAGCAAATTCTCAAATGAGACAAATTATGAAACCAAGATATAAACATTTTCATTTGAGTCAGCTTTTTGGATGTTGTATAATCAATACAAAAAAGTTGTCCACAAACACCGGTACCATATATCGTTAAGTAGAATGTTTTTCTAATTAACCAACTAGAATAATTATATGAAAGCCAATTTTATGTGAACATACATGAGAAATATACACGGAGAAACTCGCGGAAAAATAAAAACACAATGGACCTACATAGACATTAACAAATATAAAAATAAAGGACAGGGAAAACTCAAACATTTTTGTGTTTTTAAACGTGAAAAGAATTTTTTGGGAATGTGTTTCAGTTTTGTGTGAATCATACGGACTTGCACGTTGGCATATGTTTAGTCCTCTACCGGCGAAACAGGGGAGAAGTATTTCTTTATATCCTTGGAATGTTTAATAAATGTTAACATGTGGTTATTATTACGGCAAGTTCAAGGCAAATCTTGTCGAAGCTAAGTGTTAATGATATTGAATGTGCCCATGGATGCACTTGTACCAAGGTATGAAAATTTCTGACAACGATAGACTGTATTTACAAACAAGGTCATTACAGAGACTGTATAATTTGCGATTTGCTGACTATAAAATAGTACATGTAGTTGAAATCCCTATTTTCCTGACGTATAAAATAAGATTTTTCTAAACCTTTAGTTTTGGTTTATCTTTATTAAGGTTATCTACTCAAAATTGTTAAATTTTTTCTTATTAAATTCGAAGATTAATTATTCTAGAATGGTCAGTCAATTTTGTAAGTAATTATACTCAGTAGGGATGGAAATCGATTGCAGAATTGCTAATCGGTTAACCGCAAATCCTTCCGACCGATTATCCGGTTAGTCGTATCTAGATATACATTTTTGACATTTTCTTTTCATATACACAAAAAGGCTAAAAGACGTTAGAAGTTACGAGTACGTTCTGTTTATTATTTCCCTCGGGGAATTTTATGTAAACAAGAGTATATTTTATTTCAATTTCAATAGACAAGAAAAAATTAAGAAAACCATGAATCTTAGTTTAAACCATATTTTATTTGAACATGGCAATCAGAAAATACAGGCAAGAAGTACAAATCTTTGTATATTGCACCATGAATCTTGCTTGAGAAATCAGACAGGGATAATTTTCCAACGCAGATGTTAAATAAGTTAATTCTGCGTAAACACCATAATAAGAACTAGACTAAGCCTATATCTGAACTCTCACTTCATTTACAATTTACAACAATCTTTATAATAATATAATTTATGTTTCCTCATGCTGCACAATCTCACCGCAGCTCCGTTTTTGCTGAGATATAATCAAATAAATTCAACACCACTGTTGAGATGAAATATGTCATTTATTAAAATGACGAAATAAGAAAAAATATATACATCATATGATAGGGGATCAGATCAAAAGGCAATCGCACAAATACATACATGTATTAAAATACGGATCCCCTAAATTTACACATAAACAATATTTGCAATAAATATAAAAACAGTAGATATACAGCAAAAAGATAGCACTACAAAAATAAATATGCCAAAAATTCAAATATAATCTATATATCAATTTAAACATACAAATGCAAGGTAGGAAAAGCTGGGGTGGTGGTGGAAGTGCCAAATTTTTTGCTCTAACTGATAGCGTCGATAAAGCTGACTGGTCAGTTACAGACAGCATCAAAATACGTGATTATGATGGACATCTCTGATTGGTTGATTGTCTAAGAAGGGGTAAGGTTTGATCAGTGAAAATGTTGGAGTTGCGTAACAAGCAGCCGAAACTGAAGAACTGGGGGGAAATTACATAACATGGCACCTGGCACTTGCAAGGCCTGGGAGAATTCCAGCAAATGGAGAATCAAAGTACTCAGAAGTACAGAGAGCCGGGCTCATTTACAGAGTAGAATGAATTTCCAGGGACATATATACTAGTATATAGGTCCCTGGAATTTCTTACATGAATCAGGGGCTCGTAACATAAAGCTTGCTAAGTTTTTGACTTAAGTAGGGTCGTAAGTACGGTTTAGGCATAATCTTAGGACCTGTCTAAGTACTACTTAAGTATGTCTTAACCCGTAACATAAAACGGACTTAGGTAGGTCCTAGCTAAGTCAAACGTATGTTAAAAAATTTTCATATGAGTCAACTATGGTTTTTGATTTTATATTAGATATATTGCTA